CAGTGGTAAGGAATCTGCCTGTCAGTGCAGGAGACTCAAGTTCAATCCATGGGTCTAGAACATCCCGTGGAGGAGGGCGTAGCAACCCACTCTGGTATTCTTGCCTAGGAAGTGCCATGGATAGAGGAGCCTGGTGGACTGCAGTCCCTGGGATCACAGAGAGCTGGATGTGACTTAGTGACTAAACAACAACAATCTCAGTGCATTCAATGTGAAGGACCAAACTCAGCATACCCAGTAGAAATATAATGTGACCCATATATGTAATTTAAAGTTTTCTAATAGTCACATTTAAAAAAGGGAAAAGAAATAAGTAAAACTAATTTTTATAATATATTTTATTTAACCCAGTAAATCTAAAATATGTTTATTTTGGCATGTAATACATATTAAAATATTATTAATGGTATATTTTGCCTTCTCTAAAATATATGTATTTTATACTTAGAACACATTTACACTTACAACACAATTTGAATTAGTCAAATTTCAAGTGCTCAAGAGTTACATTTGGCTAATGGCTACCACACTGGACAGTATAAGCATCCAGTTAAAAGGCAGAAATTACAGATTAGATATAAAAATATATCTACAGAAAACATTTTAAATGTGAAGGCACATAGAGGTTAAAGTAAAAGGGTGGAAAAAATATACCATACAAACAGTAAAGAAAGGTTAAGTAATTATATTAATATCACACTGGTAGATTTCAGAGCAAGGAATATTGCTAGTGATAGACATTTCATAATGATAAAGGGGGAGATTCATCAAAAGGAGTAACAATGTAAATATGTGTGTACCTAATAACAGAACTTCAAAATACATGAACTAAAAACTGAGAAAGCTAGAAGGGGAAAGAGACAAATTCATACATAAGTATGAATGTTGAAGATTTCAGCACCTCTGTCTCAATTATTAATTGCTTCCAAGGAGATGTTAAATCTAAGTGATGCTCAGTAAGAGAAGCAGCAGCTTATAAAACATTAAACTCAACTAGACAAACCTAGTACAGGAAATAGAGTTTTCTTAGGAAATAAAAACTGATTGAGTCAGAAGGGAAGAAAATTAGACAAGATGAAATAAATCAACAGTTAAGTTAATATGATGGAGTCTCCCATATGCTAATGATCGAAGTTACAGTGTAGTCTTTCTAACATGACTCATTGGACGATTCCACATCATTATAGATTACCTCTTTAAAGTGTTTCTTAATAGAACTAGTCCTTTTGATAAACTAGGGATTTATGTCAGGTCACAGGGAGAATAGTAATTACAGTTGTCATGACTCCATAAAAACAGACGCTGCTTGTCTTTTTCTAAAACCTTTGCAGTAATTCTAATCGTTCGTTACTTTAATTTGCGTCTGAGAAAAGTCCTGGGCACAGTGAGGGATGCTGTAACTCAGCTTCCCTGAAGTCTGCTATCTTGGTTTCTATAGTAGTATTAGGTTAGGTCTTAGGAGTGAGTGACCTTCTGATTTATAACATTCAGAGGTTGTTGCTTAGTCTTTTGGGTTTTGTGGTTGACAAGGATAAGTCTAATTTAAAAATAAGAATGAGGAGGTAGAGAGGAAAGTCTGGAGGGATAAAGTAGGAAAACAGCTTTTTTTTTTTCCCTAAAAGTTATCTTGATCTCTGCTTCAGAACATTGTCATGCTCAGGACTTTCAGAATACTTTTTCCCCAAAGTCTGTTATAAGGGTTCAGTGTGTGAAATTGGGAAGCGTTAAAAGTTAGACTTTACTGTTAGTGATGTATTTTACTTCTAAATGCATGAGAAAACAATAGTTTGGCTGGTTTACTGCTTGAGAAGGAGGATACAAATAGCAGTGGTCATTTGTGTCATTGTGGTAACATACAGGCAAGGGATTGAGTCCTCAGTTTGAAAACATTGTAGACTTTTCTTTTAAAGATAGACTTTTCTTTTAAAGAAACACTTTTTTCAACTTAGCCTGGCAGCTCTTCACATAAAATCACAAAGGAACAAGACACCATAAACAATCGTTCCACCCCCAAACAGGATTGCATAGACAAGTAGATGCTCAGGGCCCAGGCTGTGAAGGCAGCAGGAGAGGCAGTTCTGTAGGCACCAGGGACCGCAGCAAGCAGAGGCAAGTGTGGGCCCCCAAAGGAGTGGTGAGTGCCAGACAAACAGTGGGCGCAGACAAACAGACGTGTTCCTCTTCGTCCCCAGTTCCAAAGGGAATTCAAGATCTTCTGGAGCTAAGAGAGTCCCTTGTACAGAAAGACTCTACTATAGGAGGGGAGGGACCCTTGCCATCACAAAATACAAGCAACTGCTCTGACCATCATTGCTTTTCTTTCATCTTAGACCCTGATCTCCTCTCATTAGATTTCTTTAATAATGGTTTTCTTTTTTTTTTCCATTTATTTTTATTAGTTGGAGGCTAATTACTTTACATCATTGCAGTGCTCTCATTTCTTTTTCATTCATCTTTAGCCCTCCTCTGTGAGATGATGTGTAGGATTCTTTTTGTTCTTCTAACTTCTAGCTTTTTTGTGTGTGTGTGATTGTGTCTTGGCTGAACAATGGCAGTTTTCCATATTTGGACTGAGTAATAGCTAAAAAATTGAGGAGAGAAACTTGGTTCTAAATTCTGCTTCAGATGTCAGATTACACATCCTCAGCTAATGGGAGGGAACTGAGGCCACCAAGCCCCCTCCTCCTAGGATGCAGGGCAAATGAAAAAGAGCCCAGATCACTCCCTAGAGCTAAGTAATGAGCTGACTTTGGAGGAGGCCATTTCCCTCACAGTGGAGAAACCTTGGTGGGAGGGAGAACTAAAGCAGAGAAGAGGGGTTCTCAGTGTGGTGCCCTGGTCTCTAGGTCTCTGTTCCTGTTCAGCTGGCTTGGTCTTTAACTTTATAGGACCACTCTGTCAAAATAACATAAGAAACCAGACAACTCAGGCTGTGTAGGCCCAGCTAAACTTAATTGGTTTCTGGCACTCTTTCCCCCTGAAAAATAGGATAGTTATATGTAGCATGACGCTCATTTATGTCACCCTTTTCACTTCAGGGTAATGATCCCAGATACACCCCTCTGGTGGGTACCTGGGGGATATATATCTCTGTGGCTTTCATGTTCTTGGCTGTCCTTATCTCTCTGGTTCCTTCCAACTCCATCTTAAGTCCTTATTGCCTGTTGCAATATTTAACTTGTCTGCCCCCATGGAGGGTTTGGCTTATAGTGATTGACAGGTTGTCTGCCTATTTGTTTCACCCCTTGAATTGAAGGGTTTAGCCTCATGGCATGGGTAATGTCATGGGATAGAATACCAGAGGAATCAATCCCTTTTTGCTAATTTTCTCTCACCAGAGGATATAGATTATAGCCAAGAAATCTGTGCTTGCTAAGCAGGTAGGTCCTCCTGCATTCCTGGCTGCCTTCACAAGCCTACAAGCATCCTTTAGCACCATTAACCTCAAGAACAGAGTGAGATTAAAAACCTGGATTGGCAAAAGCTACAATCCTAATTGTGTCCTAATTCATTATCATTGTTTTATATAACTGAGCTCTAGTTACCTGTTGGGCATCACACTAGGGAGAGAATCAACCACAACCTGAGCCTATTGCTCTATCTTCAGAGATGCAGGAAGAACAGTGTCTTTCTTCAGTCCTGACTTTCCTTACCACCACCCTCAGAGTGCTGCTTCTTGGTGAATGTGGTTTCCCTGCAGCTGCCTAGGCATCCTCATCTATAGGCCCTTTCTCTAGTCTAGACCACGCTCCGGTGTGTTCCTGGCTGTGTTCCTTACTGCCTACCCAGTATGTAGTTGCCTACTGTTGGGCAGTAGCTCACTGCTCTGGCATCTTAGTGTGTAAATATTTGTCAAAGGACGGGGGTGTTTTCCCATTCCCCAAAAAGCATTCTGAAAAATGTGCCTGTTTTCTTAGTCATATTTCCAAGCTTTGAATCAGTTAGCCCATTCATTCCTTGCAGTTGACAGACACTGGCCTGACCTCAGCTGGCCACATAAAATAAGTATGCAGTAACTTCCGGCACAGTAACTTTGAGGCTTTAGTACCAAGGAGTCCTAGACCTAAGGGAACTGTGGACAACATAGTCACTGTTACAGAACACATCGTTCATTAACATATCTCCCATGTCAAGCATTTTAATTTCTTTCACTCACACTTGATATTGAAGAAATAGTGCAATCAACAAATATGAGGCAGCTAACCTTATAGATTCTGGGAGAAAACTTGACTTTTCATGTTTGTGGTTTTACTTTCAGATCTTACATAATGTAGGTTATAGTATATCCATGTCTGCCTGGATAAAGGTGTTGTTTCCACGCTACTACAAGTTTAGAGATGATGTTTCAATATAGTTGATGGTTTATTCTGTCACTCAGTTCTACTTGAAACCAAAAGAGTTTGCTTCTGCTAAGTAACTTGTTAGGCTGAAAAAACAGTCTTTAGTCATGGAGCAGAGTTTTCTATCTTTGTGCAAAATCAGGAGACCTATATAGAAGGATTGAACTACTAATCTTAATTTTTATTAACACTAGACTCTGAGCTCAGAGTTTAATTGCTTTCACATTCCCAGCAGACTAAAGGAACTGCTAATGTGTACCTTGCTGAACTCCTGCTTGTAATGTGTACCTGCATATATTCCTTTCTTTCCTTTTCTCTGACTCTCCTTTTGTAGTACTTCTTCCTCCTCATTTTCCAGTTTTTTTTAACCTAATTTTCAGCCTTCTACAACTCTGGCCAACATCTTCCCATATGTATCCTGAACCCTATATGTATATATCAGTCTTTTATGTTTTCACTGTTTATAACCACCTCAGCCCCCCTCTTATCTAGTCAGAATTTGAAATAGGGATATTAGGCTGTTGGGTGTTGAGGTCATAACTGAACTGATTAGGGAACTAGCCTATGCTGTGCAGTATAGCAGCTGTGTTTCCTTCTTACACCACAACTGTTTTGAAAGGCTGGAGTATCTGTTTTAATACATATACTTTCTTTCCACAGATCATCAACTTCTACATGAATATGCTGATGGAGCGAAGTAAAGAGAAGGGACTGCCGAGTGTACATGCATTTAATACCTTTTTTTTCACTAAATTAAAAACGGCTGGTTATCAAGCAGTGAAACGTTGGACAAAGAAAGTGGATGTCTTTTCTGTTGACATTCTTTTGGTGCCTATTCATCTAGGAGTGCACTGGTGTCTTGCTGTGAGTGCCTCTTTTATTACTGATAAAATTTAAAAGAAGTCTATATACACCAGCCCAGGTTGGATGCATGAGACAAGTGCTCAGGGCTGGTGCACTGGGAAGACCCAGAGGGATGGGATGGAGAGGGATGTGGGAGGGGGGATCGGGATGGGGAACACATGTAAATCCATGGCTGATTCATGTCAATGTATGGCAAAAACCACTACAATATTGTAAAGTTACTAGCCTCCAACTAATAAAAATAAATGGGGGAAGAAAAAAGAAGTCTATATAATAGAATACACAGAGAGCAATGAATACTAGTTCTACATAGATGATTGAAAGTGTAGCATTTAATTATCTAAAAATTGGATAGATTAACAAACTCCGTGTCAAGAGTGGGAGATACTTAGACTTTGAGAAAAGCTATGAAATTTCCTTTTCTGGAAATACTTAAAAATGGAGTGATAGTCAAAGCAACCTAAAGGCAAGGAACACATGGGGAGAAAAAGTGACTTCTTAATGATGCTGCCAACTCAGATTCTGTGACTATTATTTTCTGCCTAATCATGATTTGCCTTGCATACTTGATAATTTATTATTGCTTCCCTGGTAGTTCAGACAGTAAGGAATCTGCCTGCAATGCAGGAGACCTAGGTTCGATCCCTGGGTAAGGAAGATCCCCTAGAGAAGGGAATGGCTACACACTCCAGTATTCTTGCCTGGAGAATTCCATGGACAGCAGAGCCTGGCAGGCTACAGTCTATGGGGCTGCAAAGAGTCAGACATGACTGAGCAAGTAACACAAACATGATTCTGAGAACATGAATACATTAGCTTAATATATTAATAAAAGTATACAAGTTACAGCCTGTTTTGAATTATATTTGAAAAGCATTAAAAGGAAATTCTCCAAGAAACAAAACCTAGAATATTTTACCATCTTTCTGAAAATGGGTGGAAATGATCTCACTTAATTTACATTCTCTGAAGAGCACATTGTGTCTTCACTGTTGCCTCCGTTGCAAATGGGGACCCTGGAAACTAGAAAAAGGTTTCAGGGCAATTACTGGGCCACTTAGTCAGTCAGCCCCCAGCGTAGTTTGAGTAAACAATCACCCTGTTCTTCTTTCCTCTGCAGATGAAGCATGGCATAATGCTAAGTATCCATCACACTTGTCATGATTTCATAGGAAATCTGGCAGAAGGTTCTAAGTTCCAGGGAAGGGAAAAGCTGAGATTTTCTTCAGTTCATAAACACACAGATTTTTTTTATTCCCAGGTTGTGGACTTCAGAAAGAAGAACATTACCTATTATGACTCAATGGGTGGGATAAACAATGAAGCCTGCAGAATCCTCTTGTAAGTAGGGAGTTGAAATCTAAGAGTTTAGTGTTGGATGTATGTTGTTTTTCTAGCTGTTGAACTCAATTCTCTGATACCTTCAATGGAGTGGTTAATAAAGGAAATCTTTATATTGATTAAGATGGGTATTTTCCATCTAAGTAAAGTTTAATAATAACATAATAATACCAAAAATACATCCTGATGGGCGTAATTACTGTCCCAGTGCGTGAAAATAAAGAGTGAATATAGACATATAGAAACTACTTAGAAGTCATCTACCCCAACCTCCTAATTTTTCTGATGAAGAAACCAAGACCCACAGAGATGACTTTGATTTGCTCAGGCCCTACTAGTTAATGGCTCAACTGGGAACCAGAACGCAAATCTCTTTACGTTCCACCTGTTTCTCTTTCCAAAACATCTGTGGCCAGGAGAGGGTGGGTTCCATGAGGTGGATTGATCTATTTGGCTTGAATTTTTATACAGAAGAATCAAGACTATAAATAAATATATACCTCAGCATTGCTAGAGAAACATTTTCCTTCCTTCCATTAGACTGAATTCTAAAGGACCATAGAAACCAAAGAAAAGATCAAAACTCGTTCCTCAGTGGGGACAGTAGAAAGAAGGACCCTGGGTATTGAAGGCAGAGGTCTTGCTTCTCTGGAGCTGACAAAGTGGGCATGAATTGTGGGAGTTCTAAAGATTCCCTGTCCAGCAATATATACTGCTTTCCTTAGACATGGCGGAAGAAAATTCTTCCTGAGGATTGTCAGCCCCAAGTTCATTTCATTCTCTCCCAATACCTTAGGCAATATCTGAAGCAAGAAAGCATTGACAAGAAAAGAAAAGAGTTTGACACCAATGGCTGGCAGCTCTTCAGCAAGAAAAGCCAGGTATGTTTCATCTTGATGAGATGGAAATCCTGAGATTAGAGTATTGGTTAGAAAAGGAGTATACTGCTTGGGCCCTGGCGTCCTTCTAAGTGTCTGGCCTGACTTCAGCCAGGGAAGATAAGGTAGAGTAAGCTCTCTGGGAAAATAAGTAATGTATTTCTTATGAAGAACTAGGTTTTCTAAATGCCCAGCTATTTTGCTAAACTTTCATCTGTGGGAGAAAATGTTTGCAGACTGCTTGGCCCTTGTGGGAGGGAACAGCTTTTACACCCTTGGGTGTCATAGAAATCTCAGATAGTCTCCTATGTGATAAAAATGAAGTACACAGGCTGGACTGAGAAACTGAATTTTTTGCTCTCTGAGCCTGTGTTGTTCTGAGAGGGGGATCAGGACCATCTCCAGAATTCAGGGAAACTTGGAAAATTTATATCCTTTGGTTCTTATTTATAATTGAATAAGAAGGAAGGAAGCTTGGAAGGATGTCACCTTTTTGTTATTTTTTTGCCTTTCAGGAAATTCCACAGCAGATGAATGGAAGCGACTGTGGCATGTTTGCCTGCAAATATGCTGACTGCATTACCAAAGACAGACCAATCAACTTCACACAGGTAAGCCAAGCCTTCAGGAGGGAGCTGCGTGACCACCCAGTCTCCAGGCTGCCTGGTAGATGTTTTTCTCCCCATTTGCTCCACTTAGGGGGCTCTACTTCAGTCTGTGGCTCATATCCCGGGGTGGTTGCTACCTGTGCCACGTCGTAGGAAAAGGAGGGATAATGATAGGCCACATCCTGGGTCACCATACGTCATATATTGTAGTTAAGGAATCCCGGTCAATAAGAGGGCCTTCTCTGGTCATATACGCCATCTTCCTCAAATCCTGTAAGAAGCAGAGAACTGGGAACAGAGCAGGTTTCCTCAGTCTCCCTTTATTTGGTAGCAGTGACATTTTGGAACAGGCCACACCTTGATCTAGTCTAGTTTGTTATGCTGCCCTTTTCCCCTCGCTTTATGCAGCTGATCAGTCTTCCTTACAGTTTGTGATCGTTAATTTCTGTCCACGTGGTCCTTTGGAGACCAGAGTGAATTAAGACTGGAGATTATAGTTCATTTGGTGTCCTCCACTTAACCCCTTGCTTCTGTTTAAAGTAATGACTTTACTAGATTCTCCACCGAAGCCCTTGGGTTGAGCTGACTCTTGAAGTTCATTTAACTCTTTTGGGGCAAAGTGAGTTTTGATTTTCAAGTCTCAGATCTCATATCCTCTTAAAAGTTCAACACAGAGGACTTTGTTGAATTTAGACACCATTCTCAAAATTCTTGGAGACATTTGAGGATAGCCTGGGGATTCCTGGTTATGCCTTATTAAACTTCTAGGTTTACAACAATGAAAAGTAGCAATAGCGATAGTAATCAAAAAAAAAAATCGCACCTAATGAAGAATGAGCAATTTGAAAGACCAAAAATGCAGTTGAGACTATTTTAGGCAAAAACCTCAAGAAGGAAAGGAGTGTTAGGTCTGCATGCAAGAAATGAAAATAATGGTATCTCTGTGTCCCTGCAGCAACACATGCCCTACTTCCGGAAGCGGATGGTCTGGGAAATCCTCCACCGAAAGCTTTTGTGAAGGCCATCTCAGTTAGCAGACATGGACTTGTGGGGGACCAGCTCTTTGTTGTCTACAGCCAGAGACCTTGGAGACAGCTGCTCCCAACCCTCTCTTCTTGTAAAGTCCTTGATCCTGGACCAGGCCCTGGAGAGATGCACTCACAAGCACATCTGCCTTTCCTTTTGTATCTCAGATACTATTTTTGCAAAGAAACTTTGGTGCTGTGAAAGGGGTGAGGGACATCCCTAATCTGAAGAGAGAGACTGCTTTTCACTTCTTCAGTTCTGCCATCTTGTTTTCAAAGGGCTCCAGCCTCCCTCAGTCTCTTAATTAGGGGACTGAGAGAAGCTTGGAAGGACTCTTGGTTTCGTATAAACTCTTGTTGTTAGGCCTTACTAAGAGGTAGGAATGGATGTGGGTAAAAACGTAGGGATGAAAACCACCAGCATATACACGCACACATACATACACAAAGGATTTTCAAAATGTGTCACCAGGATAGTGACTGTAAACTGGACTTTGGGGCACCGGCATAAGGCTGTCCTCCAGGACTTGTCCTTTTTACATGCCCCTTGTGAAGTCCGTCTGCTTCTGTACAAGGCTGTTTTATTATCTGTAGCTTCTTCCCCTCCTGAGGCACCACATGTGAGCCCTGGGTGGACCCCAAAGTCCCAGGCAGTCCCTTCCTTAAAAGCAGTGGTTTGCATGTGCTCACAACACATGATAGGGGGAAGACCCACCCAGGGAGTGGTTTAGTGGAGCAACAAAGGCGCCACTTTTACTGCTACCTACTTCTGACCAAGAAGAAGGACCTCAGTCTTTAGCATAAAATTCCAGCTTTGGATGAATACAGGTCTAGTTTGGTCTGTGGCTAGCTAGTTTAAATATGTTTCTAACCACAGAGAATTTAATATATATATATATATATATATATATATATATTTCACAGGGATATGCTTTTTTTTTTTAAGGCTGAATGTGTTCACCATTTTAGCCTGTAGATTTATTACCATTTTCCAAATTTAGCTCCAGCACACACAGATCCCAGCCCCTATGTGTAGGGTGTTTGTGGACTTCCTAACAGAGTATTTTGAGGCCTGGACGAATTTCGGCTTGGGGTAGAGGTTACAGAGGAAGGCAAGATTTTCAACTGGAAAACGGGTGGAATTTGGACTGATCAACTTGAGATTGAAAAACTGCTATTCTTTTTGTTCCTTGTAGCATCTCCCCCACCTTTTAAGCGCTCCTCAGGCTAGATAGTGAAACGATCCAATGCCAGTGTCATTTTGTACCTAAGTTCCAAAATAGGAACATTTTATACTTTTTTCTGTATTGTAATAGGTAGTTTTGTATGAGATCTTTTCTCCTCTTCCCTTGTACCTCATCCTTTCCAACATTGTGCTTTCTCCCTGGGCTAATTTGAAAATTTTACTCTGTTTTATATCAAGCTTGTTTAGTACATTTTTCTATGTGTTACCACAGGTTACAATTTGAAAAGAAAACTATTTTTTTTAAATATTCCATTGTTAACTGAATGTTACTGTTTCCACTCCAGCAACTAGATGTCCTACCTTTTTCATACTGCCTGCCTTTGCGGGGGAAAACCACCTTTTGTTTATTTTCTCTCTTTTTTTTTTTCTTTCTTCCTTTTTTTTTCCTCTTTTTCCTTTTTTTTTTTTTTTTTGGTGTTTTCTGTAGGTAATAAATAGCTTTCTACATATGAGTTGCTGGGACTTTTCACATTGTCTTAGAAAGCTATGGCATGCAGGCTAATTGTGGGACTCCTGTACATTGATTCTTGGTACTTAATGTATTGAAGTGACAGCTTGAAAGGTGGCAATATGGTATAGATTTTGGACCATGAATCAAAAGACCTGAGCTTTTCAGTCACGTTTGCTATTGTCTGGGGAACTCAGAACAAGATAGTTCTCTGTATTTATTGTTTGTCCACTTAGATAACATCTGTCTTACCTTCTCACAGACTTTTTGTACAGACCAAAGCAACAAATATTTATTGCCATGTATAGCAGAAAATGAAACATGCAACAAAAGCACTTTGAAAAATATATAAGGAATTGTTAAGCCTGTCTGAATTTGACCCCGCTTTCTGACCAATACAGTTTTGTATAAGGTGAAGTTAGTGATCCTGAGACCACCCCGTGAGTGGACCAGGCTGAGACACAGACTGGGGTCCAGAATGGGAACCAATAGTGGGGGCCATTCTTTCCAGAGAGCTGCCCAAGAAGAGCAGAATTAGCATCTGGAAACTTTCTTCTTCTTTTTAAGGGTGGGCCTTGATGACTGGGGTGGGAGGGTGGAGGAATGTGATGTTCCTGCCTTCCATGGCCAAGGGCATGCATGTTATCAGCATCTTGTTTAACCTGCTTTAAACTAAAGCCTATTACTTTTCTCCAATCTTCCCCTCTCTCCTATGCCCAGTGCTCATAATTACCTTGTTGTTTGTCGTTATTTCCTTGCTGAGTCATGTTAGACTCTTTGTGACCCCATGGACTGTACAGGCTCCTGTGTCCAATGGATTTCCCAGGCAAAAATGCTGGAGTGGGTTGCCAGTTTCCTCCTCCAGGGGATCTTCCCCACCCAGTGATTGAACCTGTGTCTTCTGCATTGGCGGGCAGATTCTTTACCACTGAGCCACCAGGGAAGCCCCATAATTACCTACCTCCCCTAAAAAAAGGTATATTGATGGATGATAAGCTCTAGATGCCAGATAAGTAACCTTCAGTAGAAACCATAGTCTCACGGATCACTCCTGGACCCTTTACAGAGAAAGACCATTCCTGCCCATTTGAGAATACATGGTTCAAGACTAGTTCCATCCCATTTGTCACCTGGGCCCCCTGAGACCCACTGTTGTTCCCTGGAGCCCTGTTTAGGTTTGAATGCAAGAGTACATCATCTGGCCTGGCAGCTGTGAAAATTGACTCCTCTGTATATGAGGTGCTTCATACTTCTCTGTGGTGTCAACTTCTTTCTTGTTTAGCCCCTGTAATTGCTCTATAGCATCTTCTACCCACTACCTCTAGTAGTATTAGCCCCAAAGTTCTGGACTAGAAACAGGAAATATGGAAAAGCACCGCCAGCAACCATATTCCATAGTCTGTCCATCACCACGTGGTTTTATGTGGCCCATAAAAGGCTCCAGTGGGTAGAGACAGAGCGTTCAGTTCAGAGCCCCAGTGTTTGTAATGTTCAGCCTCTGGTCCTTCTCCCATGCCATTACTCCAGCTCTCGAATGTCTTGGCCCAGAGTAAGAGCCAGCTGATACTTGGGCTTTGTCTTCTCCCTTGTTCCACCTGGATGGGCTAAGGTAGGGGGGAGGAGAGGGTGGAATATGACGCTTTCATCCTGGGAGCTCAGGTACCCAAGTGCATCAGAAAAGGATGTGTAAGACTCCTGGGCCCTGTTGACAGACTACATGCTGAGTTTCTGGCCAAGTGGCCATATTTCCTTGCCCAGGAAAAATCTATCCACAGCTTCAAATTCATCCTAACATTTGGGAAGGGATGAGTAAGGTTCAGCCCAGTATCTTTCCTAACAGCCCAGGCCGATTTTGCCCATGCAGAATTCTAACAGTAGTCTTTTAAGAGCCCATAATTCCTATTCCCAGCTGTGGACGCAGGGAGAGACGTAACATGAGGTAAATTGGGTCATGCTGGTCAATACTGAGGGAAGGGAGTGCTTAGACATGCATGTGAGAGAAATGTGAAACTAAAGGACTTGGAGATGGAGGATAAGCCTTGAGGAAATGTTAGTGCAGGCTGCTGCTCTGGTCTGTCAGAGGGTGGGGTCACTCCAACTGGGAGTGGTTGGACCGGATGTCAGTGTCTTGTCAAGGTCTAAGGTTCTTAAATGTTACTGAGGCCCATAATGCGCCTTGGAATAGAAATTAGTCAAGGTAGAGATTCAAAGTGAAATTTAAGGCCAGTATTAGCACTGGCTTAATCTTAGAGGTGAGGCCCAGGTCAGTCCTCCCTAATGGAACAGTTTGTAGCTGCTGACTTTTCTCCGTTCTAAACTGAGGGGTAACCATCAACCGCTTGACTTCTGGAGAGTCTGGCTCCATCCTTTGCAGAACTTTGGTGCTGGGAAAGGACAGCGTGTGGGGGAGCAGTGCACAAGGAGTCCAGAGCACCCCTTACCAGTTTACACTCACTGCTTCCACAGACTCCCAAGTGTGCACACATCCAAATCCTGCCTCCTTGAAACCTTCCTTGGTCATCGTTATAAAATCTCTTACCTGTACATCCGCAGCCCTTGGAATCAGCAAACAGTAAAACTCCATGTGGCATATGTATTGTCTTTCCTTTATATCAGAAATGGACTGAGATCTCTGTAACCACTGAAAGCAGGTGAGTAATTTAATGCTTTTCTTTCAAGCCAGGAGTTCAAGCTGCTTCTGTCTGGCCTGCTAGGGAGGAGTAGGGGCAGCTGACTAAGCATTTCCTTAGCATTGTGGAAGTCAGGGAAGAAGGTCCATTCACAGAAGCCTGCAGTGAGGCTGTACCTCCTTGTGCCCCAGACCTAAAGCCTCACTCCACACTTAACAAAACCCACTTCCTCAGCAGTTCTGCATGTCCTTCAGGGTCTTAGTCTCTAAGCCAGGGGGCTAATCAAGTATTTTTTCCCTAACCACACATCTTTCTATTATATACAATTTTCTCCATCTTTTTATTTCCAGTACATCCATCATGGATTGTGGGTCCCCTTCGGTTAGCCTTGTCCCTTAAATGGACTGTTTCACATGCTGCCTGTGTCTTGTCTATTGGCCAGAGCTAAGTTCCTGGAGGGCATTGGCCTCATCCACTTCTGGGGAGCTCCTTATGCTAGGTGTTTGAATAGGCCTGTGTTTAAGCACTAGGCTTGGGGGCCCCTGGAGGATGGAGTAAAGAGATGATTTGACCAAGGAAACAAAAGCCACCCATCCTCAAGAACCTTAGAACCTAATTTAGAAAACCAGGCAGGTACCAAGCAATGGACATTACCAAGAAGGCAGACAC